TCTTGGTGGGAGTAGGCGTTCCGCCAGGTATCGAGGCCCTAAGCCGTTTAGGGCTTTGTACGTAAGCATCAACACTTTGAATTTGATGCGGAACTGAATGGGCAGCCAATGCAGTGTGGCCAGAGTGGGCGAAATGTGTTGGTATTTTTTCACTCCACTAAGTAATCTGTCCGCTGCATTCTGCACTACCTGGAGTTTCCGCGACAGCCTCAAAGGCAGCCCTACGTATAGCGCATTACAGTGGTCTAATCTTGAGATTACGAGTGCATGCACCAAGGCAGTGAGCACCCCGACATCGAGATAGGACCGCAGCTGGGCTATCCGCCTAAGATGAAAAAAGGCGGTACGGGCCACCGACGCCACCTGAGTTTCCATAGTGAGAGCTGGGTCCAGATGGATCCCCAAGCTACGGACCCCATCCTTGGCGCGAAGAGTCACCTCCCCCCAAAAGAGAGGGAGTTTCCTAAGCCCCCAACTGTGGGGGTGCCCACCCTCAGTACCTCCGTCTTGTCCGGGTTCAGCCTCAGCCCGTTCTCCTGCATCCATTGCAGTACAGTCCCCAGGCAGCGCTGGAGGGACAGAACGGCATCTCCTGTGGTTGGTGAAAAGGAGATGTAGAGCTGAGTGTCATCAGAGTACTGATGACACAACGCTCCACACCCCGTGATGACCCCACCCAGCGGCCTCATATAGATGTTAAACAGCATTGGGGAGATAATCGACCTCCGTGGAACCCCACAATTTAGACTACATGGGGCCGAAACACTCTTCCCAAGCTGTATTCTTTGGAGGCGGTCCTTCAAGAAGGAATGGAGCCAGGCCAGTGCCAGGCCACCAATTCCCAGCTCGGAGAGCCTCCCTAGTAGGATACCATGGTCAATGGTATCAAAGGCCACTGAGATGTTGAAGAGGACCAGCAGAGACACTTTGCCCCTGTCAGCCTCCCTCAATAGGTCATCACACAGGGCGACCAATGCCGTTTCTGTACCATGGCGCAGCCTGAAGCCCGACTGAAATGGATCCAGGGTATCTGTTTCATCCAAGTGTGCCTGGAGCTGGTCAGCCACTACCCTCTCGAACAACTTGCTTAAGAAAGAAACATTGTTGCCAATTTCGTCCACTGCCAAACTGGGTTTCTTCCTAATGGGCCGAATGAGTGTCTCCTTGAGGGCAGATGGAAACCTGCCCTCAAGGAAAGACCCATTGATTAGTACAGTGGCCCATTCCGTTTTTATAGGCCTGGCTGCTTTGATTAGCCAGGCCGGGCAAGGGTCAAGGGAGGAGGTGGTGGCACCGCAGCGATCAAGCACCTTGTCCACAGAGTCAGGCGTGACAGGCTGAAATGAGTCAAAGTTTACTGGGCAAGACGGAGCGCTGGACATCTCTGCTCGACTCACTGTGTTCAAAAAAGGAGAGAGGTCCCGGCGGATGGCTTCCACTTTAGATTTAAAAATGCTGCAAATTTGTCTGGTGAAAAACTGGTATTCAATAAGTATTCATTGAATATTTATTTATTGGAATGTTGATTGAAAAAAAACTGTTTATAACTAAAGCCATGCTGCCCACACCTATGCAGTTCAAGGGGAAGTGTAGTTCAACTGCTTCCTTGGCTATTTTTTTTGTCTAGGATGTGTTTATAGAAATGTGTATTACTTGGCATGTGTTTCTGGCACATTCTATTTTTTCTTCTTTCTTTATTTTCAACTAGTTTGTCCTGCCCAAGTTCTGGTCTTTCATCTTCTCATTTTTTGTTGTTGAAAGAAAGCCTTACTTGCCTTTTATGACATGTTCCCTGGCTTTTCTCTTTAAGCACACTCGTGTTTGCCTCTTTCCTGATCTGTAACTTGAATTCTGAGCTTTTGCTGCCATGATTTTCAGCAATAAGCATTTACTCAAGAGTCTTGGAGAGATTAGACCTCACCCCGATTCCCATGTTCAGATCCCTTCCCTTTTAGATAATCTCCTCATTTTTAGAACTTTTCATGAAAGTTTAATGCAACAGTTTTGGTCTTGTGGGGAGGTTCTTGCTTACATAGAGGATGAAATTGATAGAACTGTGGTTGTTGAACATTTTTACTCTGGGAAGTAAAGCAGGATGTTGAAGGTCAATTGTGTACCTTTAGAAGAATCCCCACAAAGATGGAAAGCTGAAGGACAAGAAAGAGATGGATATAATGGCCAGAGTATTCTGAGAGTGACAGTCCAAAGAAGTTGTATTTTCTTTATCTGTATATTTGGGTAAGTTTTAGGTTAGGAAATGATTCTATTGGACAATGTTTGCATATACATCTGTTAAGTATTCCTCTGCTTTAACTGTACAGCTTTGTCCATGTGGGTTCTTCCTTACTAGAAAAGAAGGAAGGGGGTAGGGGGGAAATGCCATGCATAGAAAGCCGAGAGGGAGTGGCTTTTAATAGGAAAAGGCTGAAAGTGTTGACTTTTCTTTTAGTGGTTCCTGCAGTTCTGAGCAAACTCCTCCTCCTCCTCCTGAATCTCTGAGAGGCAACAGAGGGCTCTTTATGGTGTGGGATTTCACAACTGAAAAGTGTCCCTCCCACCTGGAAGCGGAGCTGTCTTAGCTGTGATAAGAGCAAAATAGCTTTTACTGCAGGAAGGAGAGCCACGGCAGGATCAAGTAAGTCAAATAGATTCACTTTCTCTTGTATTGAAGAGTTCAGAAAACATGAGCAAGTTGCATCTTTAATTTGGGTGCCTCTTCTTTCACAGAGGTGCTTAAAGAAATGTTCAACAGGCAGCAGAAGGATTTTCAGTATAGAGTATAAGGATCACAGTTGAAGCTGTACCGTAAATTCTTGAAAAAACGAGAGGAATTGTTTTCAAAGCGTTAATAGAACTGTGATTTTACTTATTGTTTTGTTCCAGGCTTAGACTATTGGTGGTCCACGTTTTCAGCTGACCTGGCTCTACACGGAGCAGCAGGATTGCTGGGAGGAGCTGGGTTGAGAGATGGTTGAGAATCAGTTCAGTCTGATCCTCCTAGTTGCAGGTGTAAATATTATATTACCACTAAGAAGCTGCAAATGCTAAACATATTGGGTTTTCTTTCCTGTTTCCTGAGATTACATAGTGACTCATCACTATTTAATGTGGGGTCAGCCCTTAATACTTAACCTGTGCCTGCCCCCATGTCCTGACCTAACAGAAGGAGGGAGGACTCCCATTTAACATTCTGTTTGGAATTCCCAATATGTGGTCCCATTACATACTATTACTGGGGTTAACTGAACAGGAAATGACTGTTTCACTACGTGATAGTAGAGAATTTCTTTCTTTGCTGCACACTCTGTCTTATGTGTTGCTATGGCTTTCCTGCTAGGCATTATTTACTGACTTCTAAATGCTTAACTGTGCCATCATTCAATTGGTCATTAGTTTTCAGTGGAGCAAAACTCAGGCCATTTCTATTAAATGAATCATTATCTGGCCAAGCCAGTAAAGGCACTTGAAGTCTTATGCTGTAAATGTTTTTCAATACGTACATAAATATGAATAATCTGTACAACTGGGAATACATGATTGCTGTTGTAATAATTGCACTCCAGCAGTGAAAGTGTGTGCGTGTGTGTCTGTGTCTGTGTGTGTAAGCAACACTTCAAAATACCCTATATTTAAATTATAGCTGCTGCTTGCTTTGTGGTCTCATTATTGTAATTGTAACACTGATCTGGCAATATTACAGAACTTTATCACCGTAAGATTGATTTTTCTTGATGTCATGTGTACTATTTCATTATAAGCACTAGAAAGATAACACAGGTTACAGCTGCAAAGCAACTCAGCATTAATACATGCCCCACCCTACTTAATACTGTCATGTTTACAGTACTTTAGTCTTGAACTTTGGATAGCTTGCAGTTTTCCTGTAACACCATGCATTCAAGTGCCTGTCTACACTTGTGCACATTGATCAGTGTGCAAAAATAAATACTAAATTATGAGTTGGTTCTCATGTAACATGAAACTATGATTTGGCACTAACAAGCTCTTTAGGCTCTTCTTCAGTCTTGCACTCTGCTTGTTTGTTTTGTTATAGACTTACGGAGGACTGCATTTTGCTATTACAACCAAACTTACAGATATCAAATAACGATTTCCTTTTATAATGATAGCATGACAATGTTGTTTGGCTCTACTGCCTGGTTTGTACGGAACCCTGGGGGGCTGCAGGGTCCTCACAGGGGGTCTGCAAACCTTGAAGAAATTTTGTGAACTTTTGCTGGAAAGAAAGAGAGGGGGGGGAAAGAAAGAATAGGAAATGTAGAGCAAAATCTTAATTTGAAGTCTTTTCATGAGAAGCTTTAAATAAATATTTGATGCACTTTAGGGTTTTGAATCTTGCATTAAGTCTTGGTGGACTACAGTAACTAAAGATATTTTAAAGGTGGGCTGTGATAAAGTAAAAGTTAAGAACTGCTGCTCTACTGCAACACAGTAACTTAACTAAACAAGTGAAAGGTCTGAGGGGAGGAGGAGGAAACTTTTGTGACACATTATGATCAAAATGTGAGCCTCTATCAAAGCAATAAAGTAATTATTATGTTTTACTGAATGTTTCAAACCCTATTACATATTTGATGATGTATTTTTTTTACTTGTGATGTCTATTTCCACTTTTTCACATGTTTTATTTTTCTTACCTGCTGCTAGATTATATATTCAAGTACACTTTGTTTGGACTCTTTAGATCAGTGGTCTCCAAAGTTTGGCCCATGGGCCACATCCAGCCCTACTGGCCTTTTTTATCTGGCCCGTGTGTGCAGGTGGGTGGCCAGCCAGGAGTGCATCTGTGCATGCATGTGTGGGAGTGGGTGGGAGTGTATGTGGGTATAAGCACGTGTGTGCAGGCAGGCGGAAATGCGTGGGAGTGCAGGCGGGCGGGAGTACGCTTGCGTATTCCTTCAGCCCTTGAAAATATCAAGAACATATTATGTGGCCATCCATGTGAAAAGTTTGGAGACCCCTGCTTTAGATCAGTGGTTCTTAACCTTTGTTACTCGGATGCTTTTGAACTGCAACTCCCAGAAACCCCAGTCAGCACAGCTAGTGGTGAAGGCTTCTGGGAGTTGCAGTCCAAACCTCCTGAGTAACTCAAGGTTAAGAACCAGTGCTTTAGATGATCAAAAATGAGGCTTTTAAATGGAGATGCCAGGGATGTAACCCAGGACCCTCTAAGCTATCACTTAGCTGTGGGTCCTCCTAATGTTAGAGAAGCAACTGTGAAATTAAGGTTATTTCTATACAAATCTGAGAGTTTTGTTTCTTTTTTTATGGACCAAAGAGGAGAATCTTTTCCTCCAGCAGTTCATTTTTCTGTCAAATGCACACTCTTTACTCAATACCTGTTCTTAGTGAATATTGTGTGTGGATTGGTTTGAATGGAAGAGAAATGACTTATTTTTGCCTTATTCTGAACAGGTCATCCCTTGTAATGTCTGTCTTTCAACTCTTGCTGAGCTAGAAGGACATGAATTCGGAAGTTGGAGATTCGTCAGAATGCAGCAGCCCAGAACTCTTCCTTTCAGTGTGATGTCCTTGCTCTCCTTGAAGGGTGCTACAACAGGGATACATTGGAGACACTATCGAGGGGAAAACTTATAAACGCGACAGGGCCATGGGCATGGGCTATGCCAGCCTTCATGTCTCCTACAAGCTCAAGCTCTTGATGCTCTTCACCTTGTGTGTCTTATTGGTGGGTTGGGCCACCTCAACTTACTTAGTGGATGCTGTGCATGAAGCCCCAAAAACAAAAAGCATAGTGGAGAGCGTCAGGAAACCAACCACTGTTGCAGAGGAACAAAGGGAAAACCCAAAGAGGAATGCTGTGCCTACTCTGAAGCTGCCTGTTGTGAAGCCTCCATGCCCCTCGCTGTCTCCCTATCTGCGTAAGTCAGTTTAGGCTTTCCAGTTCCTTAAGAAAAATCACGTTGTCAGCAGCTCAAACTGAGAAACTCAAGGAGTAAGAAAAAGGCCTCTTTTAAGTGGAGTTTATTTTCTGCACATGAGTGAGATTTCGTCTATCTTGTGAAAGTCAACCTGCTGCTTCCTTATTCTTTCTCTGCTTGTGGTTTAATGTTCCTGTGTCTGACATAAGTTATTTTGGCTCCATTCATAAATCTGATTCATTTGTTGCAAAGCTGGTGGGAAGAGCTTGTGCTGTTCTTATGAATGGCAATGGTGGCATGAAAAGATCAGATCACTTGGAAAGTTGCCATGTCTGTGTTGCACCCTGTGGGGTAGAAGCCAACAGCATTGGCACAAACCTACTGGTTTGACATTTGTGGCTGTCTCCCATCGTTTTGTTAACAGATGTTGCCATAGTTAGATTCAGCCACCGGAAAGTTACTCCAATAGTGATATACAAATATGGGCTGGAATCCTGCTAGCATTCGCATCAGGTTTGGGTAAGTTGCTGTGCCTATTAGCAGAAAATCGACAAGGCACCAGGACATGTCACTTGCACAGTCAGGTGGGGGCGGGGCAAGGGGTCAATGTGTAGCCAGCATGATTAACTTGTAAATTGCCAAGAGAGTGCTTGAAGCACTATCGGGTGGTATATAAGCAGCACACTTTTTTTAAAGAATGTGAACACCAGCATGATTTTGCCTCTGATTGCAACACATTGTTTTAAACTTCGTATGCTCTCTTTGGTCTTTTGCCTTTGCAGCTGTCAACAGTTATGAGTTTTGGAGTTAGCTTATTTCTTTGTTACACTTGTATCCCACTTTACTTTCAGTGAGCTTGAAGCCCACTGATAACCAAGGAAAATTTACAGATGCATAAGTGAATCTGTTTTAGGTGGTATGTACGTAATGTGGTTTATTAGTAAATGCCAATGTTCATGACTGTCCTCTTTTTTTTCTTGCTGTATCCTCACAACAGACTGATAGATGGTGATTGGCCCAAGGTCCTCAAGTCTTAAGACTAACTGTCTAAGCACTACATACCCCACTAATGTTCATGTTGTTAGTCTTAAAACCAGCTTGTAAGTTAAATTTGACTGTGGACCTGGGAGCTACTATGCACACAGACTAAATAAACAGACAATTCCCAGTTATATAGCTTGCAACCCAAAATAAACTTGCTCAGTAATAACCATGGAAAAAATATACATATGTAAATGCTTCGCTTTTAAATGGTGTCAGGACTTGGGAGTCGTCACATACACAACATGGTTTATTAATAAATCACACACACTGTACAGCATCCAAAATATAATGTGTGCATTATCCAAAAGAATGATACAAAAATATTGAGGGTATATCATGAACAAGATTGTGTTGTGCCCAATGCTACATAGGCTGGCTGTTCTCTGAGGCATGGTGAGGAATTAAACTCTCAATCTGTGGCTCTGCAACCAGATGTTAACTCACTTAGCAGCTACATATTAAGAGTCAGCCCTTTTTATTTTTATTTTTGTGTAAATCATCGTAACTGTAGAGTGGCAGAGCTGCAAGGGACCCTATGGGATCACAAAGCCAGCCCCTGCCAAAGAGGCACAGTGCAGAATTGGAACTTCTAACCTCTGGCTCTGCAGCCAGATAGCTAAGCCACTGAGCTATCCAGCAGTTCTAAGTACTTTACACATAGAAAACCATAAAAAGGATCAACTTGATGGCATGTAATTATATCACAATATTTTTAATCTTAAGAATTATTATTGCTGTTACAGCAACAGTAAGTACATGGCTTTAGGACTATGATTCTTCTCCATCTTACCTATGGCTGGTGAATTATTTTGTATTTACAAAAGGAATGTGTGCTTTTAGGGGAGGATATGTTTTAAGTAAAAATTTGGCACCTCAGGAGAATTTCTGAAACAAGATACTTAATCTTGTTGCTGATATACCTTCACTAGTTTTGTATGTTGTATGTGTATATATATTCCTTGTCATTAATTTATATACTGTTGTATACAGTATTATAGGATGGTTTTGCAAAATACTTATGGATATGTGTATTTCCTGTGACTTTTACTTTCGGTTTGAAACTGTAGAACTGCTCTGTGTTTTCTCAGAGGAGGAAAACAGTGTTGATGGCTGGCTATGCTGGGCTGCAGAAGGAAGACATGGAATTAAGGACACCATGTATCTGGCCGGAGAGCCAGATGTTGGGAGTTTGATTTCCCACTGTGCCTCTCTGGCAGGGGGTGGACTCGATGATCTATAGGGTTCCTTCCAACTCTACAGTTCTAAGATAATGATGATGAATCTGCCACCCCCAACCCTTTGCCATTTGATAATGAATCTGTCACCCCCAACCCTTTGCCATTTGATAATGGCTTGATAGCAAATCGAGTTACAGTATTTACAAGGAAGTTTAATCTGCAGTGATAAATTTAAATAATGAGCATCAGATGAAATTCATTTTCCCCAGTTATGATCTCCAAGATATTTAAGTAACCTGGCTCTTAAAAGCTTGCAGTGACACCATTCCTTTTTTCCTTAGGAGGCCCCAGCAAGCTTACCTTTAAAGGATCTCTCACCCTGGAAGAGGTAAAGAAAGAGAATCCTCAGATAACGAAGGGACGCTTTCACCCAACAGACTGTTTAACTCAGCAACGTGTGGCAATATTGATTCCCCACCGGAATCGTGAGAAGCACCTGCTATACCTGCTTGAACACCTTCACCCCTTCTTGCAGCGGCAGCAACTGGACTATGGCATTTATGTCATCCACCAGGTGAGTCCACAATAGTACAAAGGCTTCTCTTACAATGGATGGATGGGAGCTGAATCCAAATCTTGCTGCTTTGTGGGTGTATCTCCAGGCCTCTCACGACTGCTGTTGTATTTGTTCATTCAGCTATCAGGCACTGTCTCACGTACGTCCCTGATCTCCTCCTCTATCTCTAATAGAAATCTATCTCAGTGGGTTACCAGCAGTTAGGAGCTCCTGTGTGTACCAGTGCTGATGAGTTTCTTATTCCTTTTCACGCAAGAGCTCAGAGCAGATTGAATGAATTAAATAGCGTGGATGGCAGATTACTTCATGCACTGTTGGTGGAGCATTGTTATTTTCAGAACTGCCAGGCTTGAAAAATATATCTTGCTCAAATAATTGCCTGTTCAGATCTTGGGGCTTGGCTCATATTTTTTCATCTGACTTCTCTGCTGGGTGAATTTACATCTTTCACTCACTTCTCCGGAGGTGATAGATTTTGTCAAGAATGAAATAAGAGTTTTTCAGCATATATTTTTATCTCAGTAAAAAACAGCATTTAGTCCTTAATTTCTTGTCCCTTTTAAAAACTCATTAACTTTTGTTACTGTGCCAAAACATTGCTTTTTAGTGTTGTCATATTGACTCAACTGACTTGCTTGTTTTGGTTTAGAATTTGTTTGCCTTGTATTCTTATGTTTGTAAAGAGCCTTATAGGGGTTTGGTACATGTGTGGTATATTGAGTGAATTAAAAAGTAAATAATGTAAAAAAATAAGTGAAGTAGAAAAATCAACTTTTTCCAGCCCTGCCCAATGTGTCTAAGCTCAATAGCCTGGGCTGCGATCTGAAATTTCTGAAACATCCACCTTGCTGAACCTGAGTCAGTCAGGATTGATTGGCAGTTGAATAGCTGGGATATGAGAGTCTTGTTTGTGCTGTGTGTTCATTGTATGGCTTTCTGAAAAGCTATTTCTTGTGATACGGAGTGCAGGAAGTAAATTTCTTGCACTGTGTTCCTGCTATCAAAATTAACCCAGTGGTAAATGCAGTGGCTTCCATTTCTTCCACTTTCATATTCGGCCAGCTGACTTTGACCAAAATTCGGTAGGTGGTTACAGCTCTGAAGTGGCATTCATTTGATAGTGTGCATATTTGTGTGTTTGGACTACAGTGTCCAGAATTTCTTAGCATGGTGTAGTAGAGAGCAAGCATCACTCTCTTACAATTCCCAGGTAGGGCTAGGAAAGGCTCCTGCACATAATTAGGTTTCTGTTCTATGTAGTATACAGCTAGATAGACCAGTTCTGCCTATGGCAGATGGCTGTATTCCCAAGACAACATGTGTAATTGCATGAACTTGCCTGAAACCTCAGTCTGTTTTTGAAGTGACAATTCCCCCTCTTATTCACATCTGCTGTTCTGGTTACAGTATATGCACAACGTGCCTAATTTAAAACAAAAGCAAAAACTAGTATGGCATTAATATTAATCTGTTAGTACTTGGCTTATAAAGGTACTTTCATTTTTTAAAAATAATGTAAGCTAATTTCAAAGTCAACTTTTCATCTTTTATTCATTTCCTGTTTGTATGATAACTGCTGTTCTGGAAGGGGTTTGAATGCTTTTGTGAGCATCTGTGTTCTCTAGAGAAAAAACAACAACTTGTGTTTCTACCAGAGTTATCTGCTGGTAGTTGAGTTTCTCAGAACTGAAAAAAAGAGGAATATAAATATATATATAGTAGCAGAAGAGCAAAAGTGATAAAACAAACTAGTATTAATCATATACCTCTGTCTGCATTTAATCATAAAAGTTTCTAATAAGTAACTAATAAACACAGATTGCAAGGTTTTTTTGCAATCCTAATGCTTACTGATAATTAAATCTCACCGAAAACTGTACAATGAAGAAAACTGACAGAAGGAAAAAAACTCATTTGAAATGTTGGGTTGGAAAAGAGCTTTATGAATACCATGGACTATCAGAAAGACAAATAAATGAGTTCTAGAGTAAAAACTGAAAACTGAAAGCTGAAGTAACTAAACTGACACTGTCATACTTTGGGCACATCATGAACATACAAGACTCACTAGTAAAGATATGAATGTTGGGAAAAGTTGAAGGCAGCTGTAAGAGGAAAACCAAATATGAGATTGTGGACTCAGTAAAGGAAGCCACATTCTTGTATTTCCAGGACTTTAACATGGTTGTTAATGATAATTTGGAGGTCATTTATTCAGAGGATTGCCACATTGGGATTTACTTCTGGATAAACAGGAATAGTTTGTATTGTTAATTATTATCATTCATGAAAGAGTTCAGTATCTGTATTTTTAAACTTTTAATTCAGGAAATGAATAATATTTAAATTATCATGCTGCATACTGTATTATCTCTGCTGTAGTCAGGCATTCATGGGATATAGAGACTTTCCATCTGAGCTGATATTGTAACATTAGGTGGTCATCTCTAAGCTATTAGTACTAAGTGTTATGTCTGTAAAATTATATTTCATATATGCTCAGGATGTGTCACTTTGGATGTAAGTTAACATCTGATGGACAAGCATCAGACGTTTAGCTGCCAATTGCCCCATCTGGCAAAGAAGACCTGTGCATACTGTCTGTATCCTGTACATTTGGCTGATATGCAACTGTATGATCATTATAATACAGTACTCGTGTGACATCACTGCCTCATCCGGAACCACCACATGGCTATCCATTTTATTTAGTATGTTTTTAAAATAATGGTTTACAATCTAAAGAGACATAGTACAAAATGAAGAGGTGTGTACATCCAGGCACCATCTCGTTTGTGCTGTTACTTTAATGCTTAGATGGAGTGACTGCTGTTGCAGGCACTCCATCTCAGCATTCCTTCCTAGGAGGGAAGGAAGTGGTGTGTGTGTATGTGTTTTAGTGCACACAAGATTGTGTAAAACAGAATTATTAGTGGTCTGCAAGTGGAGCTGCATTTGGCTTGAAACTGCACAAAACATTAGTGAGCTCTAACATTTTTGTCTTGCCTTTTTTTTTTTTACAACCCCATCAGTTTTATTGCTTTTTTGGAGCAATTGCTGTGCTTTAGGAAGGATTATGTAAATGAACTTAATAAGGATAGAATCCTGGAGAGAAAAAATCGCACAGTTCAGTGGATCTGATGTGAATATCTTGTTTACAGGCTGGTAATGCCAAGTTTAACAGAGCAAAACTGCTGAATGTAGGCTACCTGGAAGCCCTGAAGGAAGAGGATTGGAATTGTTTCATATTCCATGATGTGGACCTGGTGCCAGAGAATGATTTCAACATTTACATGTGTGGCAGTCAGCCAAAGCATTTGGTAGTGGGCAGAAACAGCACAGGCTACAGGTAAGGATTTAAATAAACCCTGCTGGGAAAGACACCTTGTATCTTTAGAAACAGAGTTGATCTGGGTGCAGTTTCCAGACCAGTGAATGATATTTTCCTTCCCATTTGGTGATCTTTGATACTGACAGGTGTCTCTACAAAAGCCTGTTGCTGTTTCTCTGATGAGGTCCCATCAGGGTCCTTTTAGTATGGATGGTGCTGACAGTGCAGGCATAGTCCTCCCAAGTCAGTACAGTGGTACCTCGCTAGACGACGACCCCACTGTATGACGAAACTGCATGATGATGACTTTTTGCAATCACTATAGCGATTCGCAAAACAGTCATTCCTATGGGGGAATTCCGCTGGATGTCAATTATTTATTTGCAAGACGATTTTTTCTGACGATCGTCAGCTTCCTAAAATGGCTGCCCTGTGTTTTCCGGATCCATGCTTCGCAGGGCAGCCATTTTAACAGCTGATCGGGGCTTGCAAAATGGCTTCCCTATGGGCGATCTTTGCTGGACGACCAGGTATTTTCCCCCTTGGAACGCATTAAACACAGTTTCAATGCATTCCAGTGGGGAAAGGCTTTTCGCATGATGACGATTTTGCTTAACAGCGATTTTCCCGGAACGGATTATTGTCATCACGCAGGGCACCCCTGTAATTAAAATGGGTTAAAACAAGATACAAGCATATAAAGTTTAATCTAGCCATTGAAATCACTGAGACGTAAATGAATCATTATGAATGTTGATTTTGATGAGTTAGTTCAAGGTATAGCTGAGTCTGGATTCAACTCGTTGATTGAACCAGTTCCAGTACCTATGTGATCCAGTGCTAAAGTTGATCAGTTTATAAAATACAATTAAAAACAGAAACAGTTTGGAGAGCAGGCATAATTGCTGATTTACTGATGGGACAGCATCTCTCACCAACCCAAACACATCACTGAGACATTAGCACAGGGAATGCCCTTGCACACAGAATTCAGTGACATGGCCATTCACACAAATTGGGTCAAAGAAACAACAGTGTAGAGTGCTTTACAATAATCTTCCAATGGGTGTTTAAAAAGAAATGATTCCTCAAAGAAAAGTGTGAGTTTCCCCTGCATTCACTGTGTAGTTGGGAAATTTTGAATGGATTTGCGTCATGCTAAACCCAGAGTAATTGAGGCAGTATTTTGCAATGTAGTCATACCCTCAGTGAGATATCCAGCCAGCTCAACCCAATAAGTTCACAAAGACTTAAAACTAAGCAGATAGTTCTATTGCCCCCCCCCGCCCAATATTAACAGTGAGCGCTACATGGCACACAAAGATAAGGTTGCTTATGTAGGCAAATTGTTCTCCCTGTCAACCATCTGCTTTGATGTTCATGTCCACTGTCTTGCAAGGTGCACCAGCCTGTTCCTTGTGTAGGAGAAATGCTTACTGTGACAGGCAACATACCTAATTTTCTGCCCTGCTGGCCGGGGCTCTGCCTCTCTCTCTCTCTCTCTCCCACCTTTGCCCCTTTGTGTGTGTGCAACTCCATCCCCTTGCATGTGGGGTTCCATTGCATCTGGAACCAAGGGTGTGTGTGAAAACAATTGCTACACGGAGGAGGAAAGCTGAGTGAAGGGAGGTGGAGTCGCACGTGCCTTAGGGCAGTGGTCTCTAACCTTGGGCCTCCAGATGTTCTTGAACTGCAACTCCCAGAAGCCTTCAACACCACCTCTGCTGGCCAGGATTTCTGGGAGTTGAAGTCCAATAACATCTGGAGGCCCAAGGTTGGGGACCACTGCTTTAGGGAACCTTGGTGACAGGCAACAATGATACAACAGACATCAGTGGCTTCTTGAAAGATGGGAGAGGCTCAACAAATTTAATTTCTTTCCTTTGCTCTTATTTCTGAATGCAGGATAGTGGTGTTAACTTAGTAATAGCTACAGCAGCCTTTTCCATGGCTGGGGTTGTGGGGGTTGATATATAATGTGCAAAACCCTGGTTGAATATGCCATTGTTACTACAGTGGCAACATGCTCTTCAGTTTCAAAGCAAGCATGGAAGAAATACCTGGGATCTTCCACATGTTCCATGTTGACATACACTGTCCTCTCTTCATCTTTCTTGCTTTTGCTAGTGGAGAATTGTTTGAACTTTTTTTAAAAAAAGAAATGTAATTTTTCTTCCCTCTAAAAACTTCCTCATCTCTTACGTGCATTTCTAGGTTGCGTTACCAAGGTTACTTTGGGGGCGTAACAGCTCTAACAAAGGAGCAATTTGCAAAGGTGAATGGATTTTCTAACAACTACTGGGGCTGGGGAGGAGAGGACGATGACCTCCGGATCAGGTAATTGCATGTCGAAGCCCAGGTGGGTGGTGTGGACTGTGGATGAGAAGGGTTCCTTGGAAGTGAATCATAAGTTACTTAAGAAAAATGCAGGAGTTCTACAGGTGATATGACATGAAGTTTCCAGAGTACAATTAGCTTAAATTGGGATATGAAGTTTTTGCAATTTGTAAACTCTGGGGATACAGTGGTGCCCCGCTAGATGCTTACGCCACATGACGTTGAAATCGCTTGATGATGACATTTTTGTGATCGCTATTGCGATCGCAAAACGATGATTCCAATGGGGGAAATCCGCTTTACGTTGATTAGGAGCCTGTTTTTTCCAGCTCTGCAAAATGGCTTCCCTCGGCAAAATGGCTTCCCTCCCTTCTCAAAACGTCTGCTTTCCGGTTCCGCAAAATGGCTTGCCTCAGCAAAATGGCTTCCCTCCCTTCTCAAAATGTCTGCTTTCCGGATGGAAACTTCGCATTACAGCGATTTTTAACAGCTGATCGGTGGGTCTCTATGGGCAATCTTCACTGGACGATGAGGTATTTCCCCTATTGGCATGCACTGACCAGTTTTCAGTGCATTTCAATGGGGATTTTTTTCTGCTTGACAACGATTTCGCTGGAACGCATTATCGTTGTCAAGCGGGGCACGCTGTATATTAATTGGAAATACTCCACTTAGATGAGAGGGTTATCTTAAAACTATTATTTGTCTCTACAACTATAAGTGGCCTAAGAATGTTTTTGGAGTGCTTCCCATGAGGGCAATGCTACTTTCTTGCAGCAAGCATTTGCTTCAGTGTTGTAGTTGATGAACACAAGCCACCAAAGAATGTTTTTTAATGGGCGAGGATAGAAAAGACTCTAAAATTGATAGGGTTTTTGTATCAGTGCAGTAGATAATTTATGACCCCTTGGTATTAGTATTATTGCCTTCCATAAAACACAGCACCTGCAATGATTAGGGGGAAAGTGCATATTGAGGAACTAGGCATATAATTGCCTTTTTAAAAAAAGCAATTGTGTATCTTTAAGAATATTGGAGTTTAGCTGATGTTGAATGGATGAATGAATAAATTTATTTATTACGGTCAAGTGATCAGCTCATAAAACATATTTATGGCTAAAATATACAAAATGCAGTTTAAAAATATACGAACAATTTATAAAACACATTGTGTGGATGTTGAAAATAACAAGTTGGAAAGATAGCTGCAAAAGAAAAGTCGTAATGTAAGCTCCAAAATGTTGTCTGATCTTCATAGGCTCAAGTATAGCAAAACAGCCCTTTGTGTTGCTACATTTACAGAGACCATTACATGGTGTGTCACAGAAAGGGCTGTTGAGAAGCAGGAGAACTGCTGATGGATCTCTCAGGCAGGCAAGCACATTTACAGCTATCTCTAGGCAAAGAGGAGATTTTATTTTCAACACACCGTTTTCACCAAGTGCTTTGGCATTTGCAGCAAACTGTATTTGTAGCTTCTTGTATAGTTTTTCAAAGTCTTAATTCCCGTTTGAGTAATTTGCTAATTCTGAAACTTGTAGCTTTGAACTAAACAAGGTGCCAAGTGTTAAGGTGACAATTTTGAAGCACTTGCGTCTCTCTTACTTGTTAGACCACATTCTGCCTATTATTAAAAAACAGTAATTCTGAGCTGTGGAGATGAAGACTATGGAGCTTTGGAGGATAGAAATATCTGAAAAGACTAACCAAGTGAAAAAAGTTTTGGCAACCTGAGAAAGTTTGTATTAAAAATGGTATTTTGTCATTGAAGACTCTTGTATGCCAGGCACATTTTCACTGGCTTTTGTTTACAGGATCTGTTCCTTATTACCTTCCAGACGTTGTGTAGTCATTTTGCCTTTCTCCCTGAAAGTCAACAGAACTGCAGTTTACAAGAAGACAAACATCATCAACTGATAATAAGATAGAATCATTGTTCATTTTTACTGAATGCTGACGAGGGGCAGGCAAACTCTAGAAAGGAGTGGATTGTGAAACCAGAAAGGAACTGTAGCACAGTGGTCGAGTACCTGCTTATTATCATGCAGAACTTCTCAAGGTCAATACTGACATTTCCAAGTAGAGCTGGGGAGAAATCCTGCTGAATCTCTGAAGAAATGTTGCCGGGCAGTGCCGACAATACTTGTAACAGTGGGCGAAGAACGTACAGTAATCCAATATAAGGCAGCTTCCTATAATTCCTTCACCACTCCATGCAGCATAACTCAGGACTTATTTAATTAGCATGGTGGCGCAACATGCTTCAAGCATCAGATTGATACATAACATTTGTTTCTTAAAGTCAGCTTTAGTTGTTTGAGGAAGTTTATTGTCTGTTGGATCCCAATTAGAAATTGGGGTACTGTAATTTGTATACAAATATGAATACCCCCACACAGCTGGACTTAACGAGAGCCCACTGGCATCCTCTGGCGGGGGCCTCGCTCGTCCTTCCAGTCACTTCCAGAGCCCCACTCGGCTAGTGCTCCCTCCCATTTCCAGGAGAGGCTAGCCAAGCGGGGCTCCAGGAATGATTGGACAAAAGAGCGAGGCTGCCGCCCGCTGCCTGACGCATGAGTGGACAGAGGGCTGGACTCTCGTGAAATCCAGCTGTGCGGGGGTGAAGAGAGAGGCTGCCCCCCCCGCTGCCTGACACATGAGTGGACAGAGGGTTGGGCCCTCGTTAAGTCCAGCTGTGCGGGGGTATTCATATTCAAATACTGTACCCCCATCTCTTCTGTTCTCTGCTTTCCTTGCAACACCCTCCCACTGCATTAAGGTGTCTTCTTGGATATGTCCAGCTGTGCAGCAATTTAAAAACCCAGCTGTTACATTTTCTCTTTATTGCATAGCAATGAAATGTTGGAATCTATCTAGATTTCTATTTTCACTTTCTCCCTCTGCTATTCACCAAATTCTGTTCATTTGCACATGTGAGTTAATGCAGGCACACACACATTTCCAGCATTATCAAGTGTCGTCGTCATCATCTAGCAGATTAAATGGGCTCATGAAATAAAAATGAAATAAAATAAACATTGACTGTAAAACTGATCCTACCACTAGGCAGAGTAGGGCTGTAGCTGCAAGCAGCCAATTTGAGTTAGCATTAAGGGATAACAAAGTGTTTATTGTTTAATTTTCCTGTTACTGTATTTTTACTGTCACAGAGGGAGAGAAAGACCTGTATTTTTTTTTCATGCCACAATATCTTGGCTGCATCTTGAATTTATATATGTTTATATATGAGGATGGTGCTGTTCCACCTTAGACAAAATGTACATTGGGACAGGCCTGAGGATTGCTCTATTCACCTTCCTGTATACCTATACCCTTCTCAAGAGAGGTACATTAGAGCCTGAGGAAAATTGATTCCAGTTCTGCCAGCTCCACTGAATTAAAAATACAATGTCTTTCCAAGCTCCTAAGTCAACATATATGGTGATATTTAGTGAAACCAAGTTCAGGAGTTACCTATAAACCTGTGTTTGAACAGCGTTATATATTTTGTAGTTCACTATGAGCAGAACATTACAAAGTACAGTAATATACAATATGTGCAACAAACTCCTGGTTGCTGTTACATTTTGGGAAAAGTAACAGTTCTTGTTGCTATTCACTCCCCTCCAATGCTGTGGGTTGTGACTGCATTTTTAAAGGATAATACCACTTTTAGATTTCTGCAAAATGAAGAAGTAGCATTGGGTAGAGAAGTTACAGGGGAAATTGGGGGAAAGAATTCTCTGTCAAATCTTTTGCTCACATAACTTTTTTCCTTAAACACAGCTGCAGCTAGAGAACTGTTACATATATTTGGCTTGCATATCTGTGATCCTTTTTGGCCTCTGTTTCTCCAAATGGGACATCTCGATGCAAAGATGAATCTGCCGCTTCAGTATTTTCTAATAAAACGTCTTTAGTGTTTAACAAGGTTTTCAACAATAACATCTGCCTCTGATTTCACAGAAACAGCGCCATATTTATCTTCCTTAAACAACAATAAGTTCTTCCTATTGAAGGGTGAAGAATTCAAAACCAGTTTATAACTGTCAAACTCCAATAACAAGTCCCCTGAAGATACCACCTTTTGCTTCAGGGTGAGGGGTGAAAGATCCAGCCCACCTGTGGCTCCCAAACCTTGCCCGGCATAGGTCTCAAATTGGGACGAAATGGACTGGCCCCACGGGGTCTCCCACCTCTCTGTATACTTTGTTTTCTTTCCACTGAGCCTCCCTCTGTATCCATGCTTTATATCTCGTTCTCTCTTCTCTTCCATCTCGCCCCGGTAGGGTGGCTTCCTATATATCTGCCACTCCTTCTCCGCATACTCTTGAGGAACTCTAAATTCCATCCATTCCCCTGTCAAGGCTTCTCCTTCAGTCAAATCCACTAAATCCTCCTCCTCTTCTACCTTCTCCATCCAGCATGCTTCCCCTTCCCCTTCCTCCTCCAACTGCCCCCTCTGCCTCCCTACTCCTCCCTTTTCCTCTTTTCCCCCTGAAATGGCACCCCCTATTGTTTCTGTCCCTATGTCTAGCCCTTGTAAGTCTTTCATTATGTCTGCCAGCTGTCCCTCATGGTTTCCTCTTGAAGAGACTGGCGGTACACCTCTTGGGCCACCTCTGAGGTTGGTCACAACCTCACAGGTATATGGCAAGTTAACATGGACTAGAGCAAGTAGTTCTCCCTGTGCAAGACACACTCTTGCATTTGATAGCTGCACTTGACATTCTTTTGGGAAAGCTTGGAAAGGATATTGTGAGATTCTGGGAATTTAAAAAAGCCCCAGAAAACAACTATTTCAGGCTGTGCTCTGAACATGATGGCGGAAGTGATGGAAAATTAATAAATTCCATGCCTGATTCTGCTGATACAGCCATTGCCTGTTTCTGTAGCTATGGTGATAGTGCTTTATGCTCCCTCTGCTGCTGTTGCTGCTGACCCTCAGTGCGGTTTTCTTACTCCTTGTTTAGAGCAGTCATGTAGTGGGAAAGCAGGAACTACAGGGAAATCGTTATGACATTCCTTATTACTAGTCACCCCCAAGGACAATACAAAAATGCAGCCACATCAACAAAGAGCATATCTTTTGTAACTTTAGTAGCTTTTAATTGCTCAGTCATAATCAAACTACTCTGAAACAACTTGCACTAGGAAGAAAACTATATATGTTCTACCTCCTATGACAATTACAGTGATCACACAAGCCTAGCTCTGTTATACTGTTTGGAAGATACAGGGTTCACCAGGGCTGTCCAAAGGCATTTCGCCATCAAGGAACACATAAAGCCAGCCAAATTACTTGGGCCTAAAGGAAGGCAGGAGGGCCTGGTGTGCTCTGATCCATGGGGTCACGAAGAGTCGGACACGACTAAACAACAAAAAGGAAGAAAATCCCGTATATGTTTCTCATGTAGTTCCTGATATAGAGAATACTTAACCCTTGAGAATACTTCTCCAAAACAATGGATCTCTTCCTGAGTTTTAAAACACATGAAGTAAATGGTTGTGGACTGTTCACAGGGTGTAGTTATTCCTGTGCTGGGCACTTCATTTACATCTTTTGCCTTTGTAGTTTTATTAATCGCTTCTAAATACCAGCCATTTTGAGAAGCACACCATAAAGTGTGTATTTCATTTCTTCAATAAGCATTCCCTAGGATCCTAATTTAAAAAGAAGTTTCTAACCTTTTATTATTTGTTCTTTCATTGACTCTTTGGTGTTTCTGGAATTTTGTTTTGGCATATTCTTTGTTGGTGTGTTCAAGTTGTATTAACTACATTATATGGTTATGACTATCTTTTATAACAGTATAATAGTTCTTCCTTAACCTCACTACTTTAATAACAGTAAGTGGATCTTAGCATCCTTGCTGTAATAATCCAAAAAGCACTATAAGAGAAGTAAAGTATGCAGTTCAGGAAACCAAGTGGAATCATACCGTAAGAAAGTGGAGGCTATTTAACAATGACCTTGAAATTATTTCCTTATTTTCCACATATTAGTAACTCCTACTCGACTGAAACATTTGTGTACAGTATTAGATCTTCTTTTAAACAGTTCCACAATAGTCATTGTTAAGGTGAATTAAAGTAGAGACGTGCTGCTGTGTTTTCTTATGCATCCTTTCAGTCTATTCTTATAGATGACATGACGGTTACGGCTGAAGCTGGATGTGGTTCTTCATGTCACTGCATGGAACAGTGAATATGCACCAGGAAATCTGAATAGAAAGAAAAAGAAACAGGCAGCTGTTTCTTTTGTTTGTATTAATGTGCTGGGGATGTAGTTGAAATGGTAGTAATAAATTAAAAAGGACCAAAACTACCCATTTCATTGGATAGCAGACACTTTTACAGATGGACCACAAGGTGGCAATTAAGGCCTCCTGTTCAAACCAGCTTGTACAAAAATGCAACGTGTGGTTGCATTTTTCTTTGGAAATTATGGGAAACTGCACTCTTTCTGTTGGAGGTGCAGGTGAATCTGACACCTATGTTTCCCATAGTTTAAGCTGGGTGGAGGTTCATAGTTCACACAAACACCTTGGCTTGTTTGCAAATCTTTGTTTTCTAATTTCTGTGTTCTTCTGTTCAGGGTTGAAATACAGAAGATGAAGATCATTAGACCTTCCCCCAGCATAGCCAAATACACAATGATCTTCCACACAAGAGATGAAGGAAATGAGGCAAATGGACAGAGGTGAGTTATGGAAGTGGCTCTCTGACTTGGTGAGAACTGTCAACTGGTAGATGGAAAAGGAATATGGCATAAAGTGGAAGTTAGCCATTCGTAACTTGGTATTCTGTAGGTTTTGGATGATGAACTTGTAGTCCAACATGTCTACACGGGACCAGGTTGACAAAGATTGGATATGAACAGAGCATGTCCACTGCTTTTGTGTATATGACCCAATGTAAATGTGAGGCCAAGATTACTAGCATGAAACCATGCACAGAGCTATTCATTGTTTTGACACACATTGTCTCTCTGCTACAATTTAATGCCTATTAACACTTACGATTTCTTTGCTTCAAAAAGGTTAATACTGTTTGTAAGTCCCAAATAGGAACATACCTGATTTTATTTATTTATTTATTTATTTCCAATATAAAACTGTGAGGCCAAGATTACTAGCATGAAACCATGCACAGAGCTATTCATTGTTTTGACACACATTGTCTCTCTGCTACAATTTAATGCCTATTAACACTTACGATTTCTTTGCTTCAAAAAGGTTAATACTGTTTGTAAGTCTCAAATAGGAACATACCTGATTTTATTTATTTATTTATTTATTTATTTATTTATTTATTTATTTATTTATTTATTTATTTATTTATTTATTTATTTATTTATTTATTTATTTATTTATTTATT